ATTTTTTCCTCCCGGGCCTGAATGGCGTCAGCTATCATGGCCTCCCTCCCGGGCATGAATGGCAGTCATCCCCCCCCCCGTCCTCCCTCCCAGGCCTGAATGGCGTAGCCATGGCGCCCCCGGGCCTCCTCCCTCCCGACAGAGCGAAGCCCCTCCCCCTCCTCCCTCCCGACCTGAAATGGTGGCAGCAGCCCCCCCCCTTCCCTTCCCGGTTTTCCTCGCGTCACCCCCCCCCCCCTTTCCCCGACAGCGAAGCCCTTCCCCCTCCCAGACCTGAATGGCTTCAACCGGCCCGCCCCCCCCCCTTCCTTCCCCCCTCCCAGGCCTGAAGCGTCAGCCCCCATGCCCCCCCTCCTCCCTCCCGGGCCTGAATGGCGCCAGGGGCCCCCCCCCCTCTCTCCTCCCTCCCTGGCCTGCATGGCGGTCAGCAACTTCCCCCCCGAAGCCCCCCCCCTCCTCCCTCCGGGCCTGAGTGGCGTCACCCCCCCCCCCTCCCCAGACAGAGCGAAGCCCCCCCCCACCACCTGCCCTCTCTCCCGGGGCAAATGCATTTGCAGCCCCCGCCCCCTCCTCCCCTCTCTGTCTTCCCTCCCGGGCCTGAATGGCGTCAGCCCCCCCCCCCCCGACATAGCGAAGCCCCCCCTCCTCCTTCCGGGCCTGACTGGCTCAGCCCCCCCGCCCTCCCTCCCCCCTCCCTTCCTCCCTCACGGGCCTTGAATGGCGTCAGGCCCCACTCCTCCCTCCCGGGCCTGAATGGCGTCAGCCACCTCCCCCCCTCCTCCCTCCTTCCCTCCCTCCCCTCCTCCTCCCTCCCGACAGAGCGAAGCTTGAGCGAGCTCAAGCCCACGCTCTCAGAAACTCACACGCCGGATCGGCGGACTTGCCCAGCAATGCCTCTAACTACCGAGCGTTGCCAAGCAATGCAAACCAATGCCGAGCAACGCCAAGCAACGCAAAGCTATGCCAACCAACGCCAAGAAGTGCCAAGCAATACAACGCAATGCGGAACAATACCAAGTAATGCCAAGCAACGCCAAGTTATTCAAAGCAATGGCAGATAATGCCAAGCAATGCCAAGCTGTAGAAAGCAATGTCAAGGAACGCAACGCCACGCAATGCAATGCCAAGTAATGCCGTCTAGGAAGCGTCCCCCTAGTTGGATCGGGCCGTGTTCAATCACAGCAAAAAGGAAGACACGATGTGAGTTCCATCCTTGAACATGATGGAGCATTATCTAAGACGAATGCGCGCGGTTCTTAAGGCGAGAGACGCATCTTTAAAGCCACTCCCCCGACACCTCTGGAGCTGCTGCAAAGTTCAAGCTTCAGGGTCATAAGTGGTAAGGCTCAGGCGAAACGCCAGGCCCGCCCTACCGACACGTCTGGGTGTAAAGGCATGAGATGAAGGAAGAGGGAGAGGATTTGGAGGAGAAGGAGGAGGCGGAGGAGAAGGAGGACTTTTTAAGCATCCACGGGAGGCGACACTTACCATTAATGCTGAGGCACTCTACTGACATTTGGGAGGAGGAGGAGCTTATCGATTAAGGTTTGTGTCGACCTCTAACTGGCGGGAGCGCTTTCCCCCCCACCCAGAGCACTTTTTCCTTCATGTTTCGCGGCGCCCGCCAGGTACAGTGCCCGAGGTACGGGCTAGTTCCTCACGTTACTCTAACGGGAGGAGGAGGAGGAGGAGGAGGAAGAGGTGGAGGAGGAGGAGGAGGAGGAGGAGGAGGAGGAGGGAGGAGGAGGAGGGCGGAGGAGGATGAGAAGGAGGGAGAGGAGGATGGCGGAGGAGGAGGATGAGGAGGAAGAGGAGGGGAGGAAAGGGGAGGAGGATGAGGAGGAGAGGAGGAGGTAGGAGGAGGAGGATGAGAGAGGAGGAGGGAGGAGGGGGAGGAGGAGGGAGGAGGAGGAGGAGGAGGAAGAGGATCGAGGCCGTAGACGCTCCAGAAGCTGGGTGGGGCGCTGATCTTTGCTCTCTGCCTTCTCTCTTCTCTCGCTCTTTTCTCTTCTATTCTCTTTCCTGATCCTTGTGCTCGCGAGGTGCACAGTGGAGGCACATGCCAAGAGACACCCTGCTTGCCTCCAGGGTGCCTTTGGTTTCTTGGGTTTCGACGGTTCTTCTGTGGAAAGCGTGACAGTCCTACACCAAAAATCGATGGACGTCCTGGGGTCCCAGGGTTGGGTTTCTCGTGGAAGGTTTCTTGTGCACTGGTCTCCACTGTGCAATCGGACCGAGGTATAAGATCGAGGTCGGTTCGGGAAGGGTACCCTAGTGTGCTTCGTGCTTGCTGGCTGTTATTGTGCGTCCTGGGAGGGGGGGGGGGCCTTGTACGTTCTGTGTGTTTTGGCCGGCGGAGGGTCCTGAGTTCTTGAGGAATGCTATTCTGGCCCAGGTCCGCGATTGTGAGAGAGCCTGCAGTCTCCTGTAGACGTCTGCCCCTTCGGATCTCGGGCTGTTGTTCCTGAGGCGGGCGCGTGGTCCCCCGCGCCCACCCCCAGGAATCCAGAGGCCTCTGGGCGCGCCCGCGCGCGCGGGCTGCCAGTCTCCTGCTCCTGCCTGGTCTCCACCGCGTGCTCCTCCGCCGCGGCCGCGGGGGGGTGCTACGCAGCTCGCTCCGCCGAGCGCAAGCCATCGAACGCAGCATGCGCCGAATACTAAAGCATAGTATCATAAACACGCGGTCGGGAACTGTTGGTTCTCGGACGTTCGGTCGTTCGTCGGTTCGAGGTTTTCGGACGTTGTCTTTGGTTCTCGGGGCTTTCCAGCCTCGGGACGCTCTCCGTGAGGTACGCCTCGTCGAGAGCGTTCCGGGGGTGCCAGGATCGTCCAGAACGATCGCCGGAGAGCCGAGTTGGGGCCCGAATACCACCAGGGGATACGGTCGAAAGTTTTTGGATAGCGTGTCGCTCCGCCAGTTCTGGCCCACCTCGCTTTGGCGCGACACGCTATGCACGTCCCTATTCCCGAGCGTCAGCGTCCCGAATTTTCCGAGGCTCTCGCCCTGCGGAGAGGAGCGACATGTTATCCGCTCGCAGGGCACAGCGTGTCGCCGGGGCCGCCGCCGCGACACGCTAGGCAAAAGTTCCCGACCGTAGGGTTTCGGAAGTCCGCGCGGATGTTTTGGAACCGCGCTGGAGCCCCCTCCTTGGCGCGGTGAGCGCGCCAGGGGCGGCGCGGGAGGCGCCGCCAGAGGTCTCCAGCGCAGATCCCAGAAATCCGCGCGGACCTCCGAAAGTTTATGTTTATGCTGCTCTGTGTTCCTCCAATGCAGGGGCCGCCCCGGCGGAGTGCCACCGATAAGCAAACTGTCCGGCGTGCAACAGAACGAGAGGGAGGAGAGGGCGGCCGCGCGAGGAGAGAAGGAGGTACGTAGGCGCGCAGAAGCGGAAGAATTCCGCGGTGAGCGGGCCCGAGCGGCCAGCCAGGGCAGCGAGGTCGCGGCAGTTGCCGGGGCCAGGGCCAGGGCGCACCCGCGGGCGCTACCAGGGCGCAGCAGCGGTGAAGAGCAAGTAGAACCAGAACAGGAACCCGAGGACTACCATCAGTAAAATGGCGCACCCACCATTCATCACCCATCACCAGACATCTGGCGTCTCGAAAAAATCGAGACGGAGGTTGTTGATTGTTTTCGGCCTGACGGGGCCCTCGCCAGGCTTCGGGACCCTCAAAGACAGGCTCGGGACCCTCAAACCCGTCCCGGGGAACTGGACGGGGCAGGGCCAAGAGAACTCCGAGATCCGACGGCGCGAAACAGTTGCAACATGATGATTGCAAACAAAAGCGCGACTGGACCGTCTAGACCCCATCCTGAAAGAACCAAGAAACTGCATCATGAACATAAGACTGTGGAGCTCCGCGAAGATTTCGTGGATCGGCGCTGGGCCCTTCTGGCGGCACCTCCAGCGCCGATCCGAGACATCCACGCGGAGCTCCGACTCTCTCTGTTCCTCTTCTGCAACCTGTTCTCCTTCGATCGGCCCCTCCTGCGGCGCCATTCGTCGAGCCCAATCGAGCCGTGAGGGCCCCGGGGCCGCGAAAACGCCCGGGAAGAGAGAGCACTGCAACGCTCAGATCTCAAAGGGGGGGGCCGAGAGGAGGAGCCCCCCCCCCTCCGAGGAGGCGGCCACGTCGACTGGCGCTGAGCCATTGACGCCCCGGCGACGGCCAGCGCCACCGCCGCAGGTCCTGGGGCCGCCCCGGGAGGCGCCATTGACGGCGCACCGGGAGCGCCCTGGGCGGGGCCCGGGAACGCACGGGGAGCGCACCGAGGGCGCCCTGCACGGGCCCTGGGCGGTGCGCCCCGGAGGGAGCACGCCTGGACGGAGCGCCCTGGACCGTTCCCGGGATCGCCCCGCACGGGCCCTGGACGGGCCCTGGACGGTGCGCCCTGGAGGGAGCACCCCTGGACGGTGCGCCCTGGAGGGAGCGCGCTGGACGGAGCGCCCTGGACCGTTCCCGGGATCGCCCTCGAAACGTGCTGACACGGGCCGCCACGACTGGGGAAACCACAAGGTATCGATGCCGCCAGATTGCTCCCCGGACCTCTCCCGGGGTGCGTGCTGACCAGAGTCCCGCAGCGAATCCGGCGACGGCGACGAGGGCCTCCCAGGAGGCCCAGAAGGGCGAAAACGAGGGAAGGCTAGCAGTATCGGGGTTACCTTCCCAGACATGCGACGTCCTGATTTTTGTCAGGACGGCGTCCCCGCAAGCCCCGACCCTTTCTCCGGGACCGGCTTTTCGTCCTGAGTCGTTTTGATGGTCCCGAGGCCCGGCGAGGGCCCCCCCCGGGCCGAAAATTGCCAAAAACCTCCCGCCCTGATTTTTTCACGACGCGATCATGTCTGGGTTCTCCTCCTCTGAACGACTGCCCGCCGTCGCGAGACGACCACCACCCGCGGCCGCTGCCGCACCAGCCTCGCCCGCCGACCACACGCACAAGCAGCACAACTGTCGACCCTGCCCCGCCCAGCGCTCGCGCTGTCTCGTCGCCCGCCCAGGTGGCCTCCTACCCCGAGGCGGCGAGCCAGGTCTGCTCTCCCGCTGCGCGCGCCGGGCGTCGTCGTCGTCGTCGTCGTCGTCGTCGTCGTCGTCGTCGTCGTCGTCGTCGTCGTCGTCGTCGTCGTCGTCATCGTCATCGTCATCGTCATCGTCATCGTCACCGTGGTGGTGGTGGTGGTGGTGGTGGTGGTGGTGGTGGTGGTGGTGGAGGTGGTGGAGGTGGTGGTTGGTCGTCGACGTCCGTCTCCGTCAAAGGGCGGTACAGCCCCTAGATGCTTCCGGGGGGACCCAGGGTGGCTCAACACAGCCAGCCCCAACCATGGCCCCGTAGCATCCGCCCACGGGCGTTTCGAACACGGCTGCCCTCAAGCCACGAACCCATCAGGCGGGGCCAGCGGCAGAGGCCGAGAAGCCTTTTGCACATCACGGGGCGCTGTCGTCGCCACGGACGGGTCTGCCTCGAAATCTTGGGCAGGGCGCGCTCCAGGGGAGAAGGAGGAGGAGGAGGAGGAGGAGGAGGAGGAGGAGGAGGAGGAGCGGGAGCAGGAGCAGGAGCA